AAAAAAAAAAAAGGACCCTGATTTACTGGGGTGTGGTCCCATTAGCAGTCGGATAGGAATGTGGCTGATCCAGTGTGACACTGAGTGGCAGCGGCCTGACAGGTTCATTACGAATTTCTGGTGTGAGAAAACTGGAGAAAGGCAAAAAAAAAAAAAGAAAAAGAAAAAGAAACAGAGATCTCCCACCTGAAATCACGGCAGAGTGCTTCCCAGCCATCAGATCACAAATGATCTGATGGTGGTGGTTGCAACAACAGTGCAGAAAGTAACTGCCACATTTTTTTGGAATAAAATCGACTTCTGTCAGCAGTCATCCTGACACCCTCCATATACTCCGTGATTGAAGGAGGGCTCCACCCAATGAGATAATTGCACAACAGCAAGTAAAATGCTGAAAATCTTCTATCCAGTGGGCTAAGGCCGACCCCAACCTCGTTTGGGGTTGGCCACACCCCCAACCGATTGAAAAGATTTTGGTGGGAAGCTTCCTTTGCACCGTGTTAAGGAGAGGAGGAGGGGAACAAAGATCTCCTTACTTTTTTAGGGTAAATTAAATACATGTAAAATACTGACCGTGGGATCACGAGTAGTGCACGGCAGGATTTGGGTCACTCAACTGCCGCACAAACTCTTTTCTATCCTATCCGGTTGCTAGTGGGACCATGCCCCCATAGTAGGTGGTTCAAACCGCCTCTCTATGTGTTTTTCGATTTTTTTTGTTTTTTTGTTTTTTGGGGTGGGGGGGTGGGAGGGGTTGGGGGGGGTGGGGGAGAGCTTTGAATTTATTTCTTTCCCTTACTTTCCCTTACTTTCCCATTACGGTATACCTCTCTATGTGATCCCCATCTCTGATTGTTCTTTGATTTGTTTTCTTTTTTTTTTGGGTGGGGCAGGGGGAAGCTTTGAATTTATTTCTTTCCCTCACTTTCCTATTACAGTATTATTACCCGAGACACAAAGAAAAAGATATTCGGAGATAAGATTTAGGGCAAATTTGCAACCGTACCCCTTTTAAAGACGGGAATTTTGTGTATACCTACCTAGTCAGGCTAGTCTCAGTAACTGTGAAATACTCTGTGGAAAATTGTTTTGCATGGCCCAGTACCCACCGGTTTGCACCTGCAAAGGTCAGTTATACCCCCCGCGAAAAAATAAATAAATAAAAAGGGTGACCGTCTTGAGATATCACCATTCAGCTGACCGGCTTCAGATGATTGCATCTGGGTTCAAACTGAGGCCTGTATTTCATAACAAGGGCCTGTATTTCAAAACAAGGGCCTGTATTTCAAAACAAGGGCCTGTCTTTCAAAACAAGTCACCGGCATAACTGGGGCACGAATTTTGACAGAATTTTGAAGAGAAGGAGTCTGTTCTACCGTGTGTCACGGGTGAACAGCGATTTCATCAACAGTAACTTTTTTTTTTTTTTTTTTTAATTTGGACCATTTTTCGATTTATGCGTGTCATCCTTGGGTAGGGGCCATGCTAATCTTCATTCTCTGTATCGTTCCAATTTTAACGGATGTCCCGAAGGACAACAGTAACATTTTTTATTTATTGATCGAAATTGAAACCGGCTAAATTGACGCGGGTGAACAGCGATTTCATCAACAGTAACATTTTTTTATTTATTATTTGAACGAAATTGAAACCGACTAAATTGACCCGATGTAGGTCGACATTTTTAGCACTTGAGTTGAGGGTCCCATATTCTTCCGGCTTTCTGAAAATGCCAGACCTCTGGATGTATCTGGACTTCGCTGGAGTCCAGGAGGTCCGACGTTTTAAGACCGCCAACCCCCCTTGATGTATCTGGACTTAGCTAGAGTCCAGGGTGGTATACGGCGATTTAAGAACGCTGGACCCTCAGGAGCTACAAATTTAAAATTTTGACCTAAAGACTGGGTGGGGGCCAATTTCGTCGGTCTCAATTTTCTGTAAAAAAAAAACTAAAATTGGTGTAAAAAATTAAAAATGTCCATTTTGATGAAATTGCTGTTGGTGTGCCTGCTGTTGGAAGGGTCCGTTTCACATGGGAGGCAGCATGATGAGCATTTCAAACAAACCAAAAAAAAAAAAAAAAAAAAAAAAAGAGGCGCAAGTTCATCTAACTGTTTTTTGTGACTTTTGTCATTACCAAAGAAAGAAAAGTTAAGAAATGCGTTTATGATAATTTCAAATTTTTTGAATTTTTCTCTTTCTTGTCATTTGAGAGAGATGCTGACGCTTTTCTGCGGTAAGATAAACTACCCTTTTGTTTTTTGGGTCAAGACCGGGAGAATCAGATGCACTTTTTAAAATATTTCGTCACAGAAAAAATGAAAAGTACCAGAGAAGAAAAAATTGAACGAAAAAAAGAAATGGCTGCATTATTTTTTTCCCTCCCGCCCCTCCCCCCCCCCCTAGATAACAAGTTAACAACCAAGGGTATTATGCGAACATGATTACCCACGTACACAGGTGTAAGTACACGTACACAGGTGTAGGTACACGTACATAAAGGGAACTGTGGGAACACTGGGCCAATTTTTTTGAGAAAAGATGTGAAAAATTGGGAAAACTTGAGACCAAGAGTTTAGAAAAATGAATCATATATTTATTTAGAACTCGAAAATTTCCTCACCTTTTTTTTTTTTTTTTTTTTTTTTTCCCGGTCAATTTTTTTGAAACCGAGCTGCCCTATTGCCAACTCTGCGTTCCCCTCTCCCTCTGGAAACAATACTGTGCATGGCACTGCATGCAAAACTTTTTTTTTCTTTCTTCTTTTTTTTTTCTTTTCGGCCTCCCCCCTGCAGAGCGTTTTATTACAGACACGAACACTTCTAATTAGACAGACAGCAGCAACGCTTTTAACGCTTACTCCCTCTATCTCGCACAGCTCTACCACACAATCACAGATCTGATAGTCCGTCAGATCTGACGGCTATTGGCTATTGGCTATCTGCCTGTTGTCGGACCATCTTCTTATCCCAACATACCGCTTGGGTCCTCCATATTCATCTTGAATGCCTTAAGGAATTCGCCTGCAAGGCATACACAGATTGAAAAACAGAAAACACAACAAAAACAGAAAAAAAAATGAAAAAAACAAATTCGTTATCAACTTATCAATGTTATCATCCAGGAAGATTTTCACGACCGGCCGGTCTGGACCAGCCGGTCACCCGGGCTTGACGCCCAAGATACCCGGGCACGGAAAAAAAAAAAAAATCGCGGTGGGGGTTTTCTGCGCTCTCCGAGAGGAGCCCAAATCCGGGCACTTTTCGTTTTTTGAGTGTTGGCTGTCAAAGGGGGGGGAAGGGGAGTACAAATGAATTTTAAAGGGGCTAAAGGGGTTTAAACTTTAAAGGGGGGTGCCTTAGTGAAGTTAGTGTGATTTGGTTATTTTCTTTTTTTTCTTCATTTCCGTGAGGAATTCTAATGTGACCCTCAGCCAAAACTTGTTTGTAACTTCGTATTGCAATTCTACACAACATTTTTTTTTCTCAGATTTTTTTGGATTTTTTTTTTTTTTTTAAGTTTTTGAATTTATTTTTTATTTTTACTTTTTTTTGCGCTGGGGCTGCCCGGGGGTCATGCCTGGCCGGTCACCCGGTCGCCAAACAGGATCTTCAATAGGTAGGTAGTTCAGCAGGAGTGTAAGTACAGCTCCGGGGTATGTCATGATAGCAGTTCTGCAGGAGAGCATCTCTATCTCTCTATACCAAGAATGATGACAATGTTAAGGGACGCTGGACCTGGTTTCCAGCAGGTGCTGCTCCCCACCAATAGATGGAGCCTCCCCGAGAATGCTAGGGGAGCCTGCTCTTATCAGCACCTGTAGCATCCACCCAGGGGTCTAATTAAAAAAAAAAANAAAGGTGCTCTCTCTCTCTCTCTCTCTCTCTCTCTCTCTCTCTCTCTCTCGTAGTCTAATAGATATAATAAATATGGGGTAACTTCGGCGCAGTCACGAAAACAGTTTGTAATTGCACTTCAGGCAATCCCGCGAATACAACACCCCCCCACCCGACCCCACCGGACCCAAAACGTAGGTCATATACATTCAGCATTACCGGCCCTTTTGCCTCAAGTGCAATTACAAACTCAAACCCTGACTGCGCCGTAGTTTTCTCAATATATATACATTTCTAGAATAGTACGCATTACCGCAACACTTTGTTTCCAGCAATTCGGCGGAGATGTCCAAATTGCTGCACTTTGTGCCTAGAGGCTGACAAGAGTGTTTAACTGCCATTTCGTCAAAATGGACATCTTTTATTTTTTGAACGAAATTGAAACTGAGTTTTTTGGCCAAAACCTCGTCAAAATTTGCTGTTCCTGGGGGTCCGGCGTTTGTAAAACGCTGGACCCACTGGCTGTACATGGACCTAGCTTGAGACCACTGCAGGGAGGACTGCCTGGAGGTACCTGGTCTTAAGCTAGGTCCATGCACAGCCAGGAGGTCCAGCGTTTTACAAAACAGCAAATTTTGACGAGTTTTTGGCCAAAAAGCTTGGTTTCAATTTCGTTCAAAAAATAAAAAGATGTTCATTTTGACGAAATGGTCGTTATTTTCCTTCTGCCTGGAAGCCTCTAGTGACTTCATAGAGGTGCCATCTATCGTTCCCCGAGCGGCGAGCGCCTTCGTGGGAGGCTGGATTAGGCGCTACCTTCTTGTAGGCAGCAATCCGTAGATTTACGTCTTTCATGAGACTGCTTCACATTCGCCGGTCCGTTTTGGGACCCGACCCCCAAGTCTCCTGGGGGGCAAGGTCCCAGTACTGGCAAGGAGGACTGGTTTTGAACACGCGGATCTGGGCGTGTTTAAGGCCAGGTGCAGAAAATGGAGATTGAACTGCTTTTCTGCATCCCTGCATAAAACACATCCAGATTCAGGAGCTTACTCCAGTCCTCCTCCTTGTAGAGGGACCTCGCTCCTAATGTACTTTTGCGTGTTTGCTCGCAAAGTCTCTTCCCACAACTCTTGCAGGGGTCAGTAGGCTCCAGAGTCGAGAGCAACTCGGCTGCTTCTTTGGCTTTATATGATACAACAGTCATCACTACGACACCCACTACCATCTTTCCCCCCTCTCCTCCCCCTCCCCCCCAGATTCACAATCCACAGTCATGCTAACTCCATCCGGCGCAGCTTTTTTCGGCTATTAAAAGCAGCAACCCATCCTACTGCATGCATTATGTTGTGGGGAGTCCCGTAGCCGTTGAATGACCAGGGTCCTCCTTTTTTTCTCTTTTTTTTTTTTTTTTTTTTTTTTTTTTTTT